TGATTCTTTTCCATTGGTATAAAAGCAGGTGAACAAATGGCGGAACAAAAACACCAGTTCTATACCTAACATAAGCACGAGGGAAGTTACCTAGATTTGGAACTGTGGGAAGTGGAAATCTCCTTCCTATCCGAACTAAAGGTTAGATCTTGACTTTATTATTATTATTATTATTTTGAGAAATTCTTAAACAGAATTTTTCCTGTTGGATTCCAGACAGCCTTTGCTTTTGTTATAATGTTTCTCGGTTCCGTTAAGTATAACTAAACTTTATCTAGATCTAATAATATTAATAGCTGAATTTTGAACTTTAAAAATGTTGGTAAGAGTGATTAGGTTTAAGAAATGAGCGATTAGTGTCGGGCCGGGCAACAACGATATCTGGGTTTGTGGTGGGGCGAGTATTGGGCCGTGAAACAACAGCTTGGAGACCAGATTAAATGGATCAGTTCACACAAAAACAAGCTTTGACTGTAAAACCCTCGACTCGGGAACAAGGTTGAAAGCTAAAACCCTTCCCCAAAATCCCGTCAGCCGGCGCCAGTGGCACTCTGTGCGTAAAAACCCCTTTGTTTTTCTAACAACGGGTCAAAGCAAAAGGACGAATGAAAATGGCTGCCGTTGTGCTCCGAAACCCTAATTCGAGGCGCCTTTTGTCATTCTCTTCCCCAATTTACTGGTCCTTTCGTGGCTCCATCTCTTCTTCCCATTTCTCTGTCCCCGATTCTCTCTATGGAAATGAGGCGGTTGTTCCTGCTAATGCTAACCCTTGGTGGAGATCGATGGCTACTTTCACTCGCACGTCAGTTCTCTTCCTTTCATCTGCTAAATAAATTAGATCTCTTGCTCTTTCATACTTTCAACTCTCAACCTTTTTTTGTCTATGGGGATTATTTATATTAGTTTCTTTTGGGGGTTTAGTTGGTAAAAAAAATTTGTGACTTTAAGAATGAAAAAGGTCGTTCCTTTCCCTTTTTGGGATTACCTATTTGACTAAAGTGATTGGGTTTTTGTGAGGTTTAGGGGGGTATCGGTTGAAACAGGAGAAGAAAACGATAAACGGAAGCGATAGGTGAAATGGGTTTTCATTTTAATGGTTGGAATTCTTTCTTTATTTCTATGGTGATTTTCTTTTGCAGAAAACCTCATGTCAATGTGGGAACAATTGGGCATGTTGATCATGGAAAGACCACACTGACTGCTGCAATCACAAAGGTTGGCTTGTTATTATACTTAATGGTTTCTCTCCACAAAACATATCACTTTCGAATAGTTCTGAATTCAATATTACAATTTACTATAGTGATCTGATGATAAGTTGGGTATTTGTGAATAGGTACTGGCAGAAGAAGGGAAAGCTAAGGCTGTTGCCTTTGATGAAATTGACAAGGCCCCTGAGGAGAAAAAAAGAGGAATTACAATTGCAACGGTTGGTAAATTTTGTGTTCTCCATGTTATGCGTGGTTGTTTGTTAGGGCATGGAGAGGTTTAGTGCAGTTGTTCTCTTGATTTTTTCCCCACAAAGCTATCACGCTTGATTTGATTTTGCAGGCTCATGTTGAGTACGAGACAGTTAAACGTCACTATGCACATGTGGACTGCCCTGGACATGCTGATTATGTTAAAGTAAGTCGGTAATTTAATATGGTAAATGAAATTATGTTTTCAGAGTCTTTTGCTGGAGATGTTACTGAGAGAGGATTAAGGTAGAAGTTTGAGGAAGATTTATGATAAGATAGTGTACAGGAATAATGACGCTTTCACAGAAAGAAACATGCGATTTTACTTTGTAAACGAAACTATAAATGCTTTCGGCTTTTTTGGGGTTTTCTTTTGGAGGGTAGGGGGTGTGGAGCATACTATTTTTTGGACTTTATTCTATTTGTTCTCTTATTAGAACTTAAGTATTACTTATAGCGCTAGTCTTCTCTAATTTCACAAACTTAAGTACATTTAATTTAAATGATATTAACCATCTTGAATGATTGACTCATTTTTTATTATTAACACACGGCATGACTTTACCAATCAAACAGCTTGTGAACAGTGGCCTAACTATATCATATTTTGCAGAATATGATCACTGGCGCAGCCCAAATGGATGGTGGTATTCTGGTTGTATCTGCTCCTGATGGGCCCATGCCACAGACTAAGGAACATATTCTGCTTGCCCGGCAGGTGGATACCATCATACCACTATTAATAGCTGATTGAAAGTTATGGATAAGGGATGTTTTGTCTGTGGTTTTAGAGGAAGGTTTATTATTTATACAAAAGTATTGTTCTGCAGGTTGGTGTGCCCTCACTTGTTTGTTTCCTGAATAAAGTTGATGCTGTTGACGATCCAGAGCTGTTGGAGCTTGTGGAAATGGAGCTTCGTGGTAGGTAGCCCTTTTGAGTTATTTTGTCAACCTGTCATTTCTTGTTTGTTAATTGTTGTGGCTTATTTGAACTAATTCAAATAAGTTTATCTTTGCAACAGAACTTCTTAATTTCTACAAGTTTCCTGGGGATGAAATACCTATCATTCAGGGATCAGCATTGTCGGCTTTGCAGGGTACAAACAAGGAAATAGGCAAAAATGCAATTTTGAAATTAATGGAAGCTGTAGATCAGTACATTCCTGATCCCCGTGCGCCAACTTGACAAGCCTTTCCTGATGCCAATTGAAGATGTTTTCTCAATTCAGGTAGAGAGCCTTGCATTTGTCTTTTTAATGTACTTGTTTATTTATTTGTTTGACTTCCTCACATTGAGCTTTACTATATCATTTAGTAGCTTTTTTTTATCGCTTTGATTATCATCAGTCTTGATTTTTCTTCCTTTTGGCCATCCAAATTCCTTTAATGGATTGTTTTAAATGTCAAGTAACTAAGTTGTGGTTATGATATTATTGTCCTTTACCTTTTTTTCCATTTCATGAATCATGTTAGTGCGTGGAGGAGCTGAATGCTTGAAAATGTGAGCTTTTTCGTTTTAAATGCAATCATATTACTTGGACATAGTTTTGGATTTTCTTTAGTTGGAATTGTAATCATAGTCTGGTCTGCTTCTGTATTTCAGTAAACTTTCCTTCCTACTGCATGCATGGGCGAATTTTTCTGAGTTAAATGTCTTAAAAATTTGTTTCTATTGCATGCCAGAAGCAGAATTTTTGGAGTTAAATTTCAATTTAGCTCTGATGTTATTGGTTGGTGTCTTGAAGGGACGTGGAACGGTTGCAACTGGTCGTGTTGAACAAGGGACCATTAAAGTTGGTGAAGAAGTTGAAATTTTGGGGTTAATACAGGTATATTTGTAAATTGATTTTTTAGGTCATTTTCTATGAATTCTACATGCATTTTCTTGTGATAAATCTGTTGGATTGATGATTTCTGGAATTCATATTCTGATTAAGTCAGCCTGATAAGGATTGTTTGATGAAGGGTGATGTTGATTTATTTTAATAAAATGCATTTAACTGTTAATTCTAAAATTGAGCTTTCTTGTGCAGGGTGCCCCCTTAAAGACTACAGTTACTGGGGTTGAGATGTTCAAGAAAATCTTGGATCAAGGACAGGTAAGTGAGCTATTATAGAGACTTTGCCCTGCTAAGGCTCTTCTTTATTTAGTATTGAACTATATTTATGTGTGTGGATGCTCTAATAGGCTGGTGACAATGTGGGACTCCTTCTGCGTGGCTTAAAAAGAGAGGATGTGCAGCGAGGAATGGTAAATGGCACCAAACAAGCTTCTTTACATCCACAAAGTTCTCTAGCAACAAATAGAACTTTTTGTAGTAACTCTAATCTATTGATTTATCTGAATTTTGAAGTCACATTTTCCATTGTTGCCTAGAACATTGTAAATCTTTCGTGCGGAATATTTTATGTTGAACAAGAGAGAAAAGAGTTTTGCAGTAATATTTTCTATTAGCTTTTGAAAAAAAAAAAAAATGGAAATAAGTTTTGTTGAGCATGATGTTCAAAAAAGGATGTAGTGAAACATCTGATCTCTTTCAATTGCTTAGGTAATTACCAAACCTGGAAGCTTGAAGACATACAAGAAGTTTGAGGCAGAGATATATGTCCTCACAAAGGATGAAGGTGGACGTCATACAGCCTTTGAATCAAATTACAGGCCCCAATTTTATCTGAGGACTGCAGATGTAACTGGAAGAGTGGAACTACCTGAAAGTGTGAAGATGGTTCTGCCAGGAGACAATGTAACTGCAACTTTCGAGCTGATCTCACCTGTGCCTCTTGAAGCAGGTATGCTGCAGTATTCCCCTTTTTCCCCCAAAAAAAATCTAAGAAATTGCTAATTGGAAGTTCCATTATAGCATATTATCAATGACAAGAAGAGTTTTCTCTTTGTAGTTATTAAAGTCTCAAAGCTTAGAAACTAGGAAAGTGTTAATTTGTTGCTTGCCATCAATGTAACAGGACAAAGATTTGCCTTGAGGGAAGGAGGTAGAACGGTTGGTGCTGGTGTAGTATCAAAAGTATTGAGCTAACAGGTTGCTATTCTAGATTATTTATGATTTTCTACATCTTGTTGGTTGTAGAATGGAGAATAGATGGATCAATCAGTTGGTAACATCTTTTGTTCTAGAATTACTAAAGAGAGTGATGAATTTTTCTTTGAGTTTCTGGCGGTGTACGAGGAGTCAGCATTTTTCCCCCCTTTTCCAATCCAAAAATCATAATTGAACAGCATTTTTTAGGTTATCTGAAAATAACAGTCCTGTTGAACAGTGCTGCAGTATCACGTAAGCTTGCAGCTTGGTACCTAGACGGCATAACCAATAATTTCCTTTGGAGGTGTATTTTTGTTATTTTGTGTTAATTTTCCTTTTCTTAAACAAAGTTTTCTGTAAAAAGGAGTATTTTCAGGGAAACATCTATCAAAGCCTTATTTAGCAATGAGCTTACCAAAACCTAGGTGACCCATTATCATTTGTAATTTATTCACTGCGCTGCGTAAATCAAATACCAATTATGCTAGTTAAGAATAGCTTCTATGACAAAATTGTAGCTTTATAAATGAAAGGTATCTTTATTTTTACCCGTCAGGGAGTGACAACCCTCCTCTTATTTGCAACTTAATGATTATTATACGTATACAAGCTGCCAAAGGACCAGGTCCTGCTCATATGTGCTAAAGGCCATAACAAGACCATAGGGATAGCATAAAATTCAAAGTTCTCTTCTTCGAATATCATGCTTCAACTCACCCTCTCTTCAGATATCCACGTCCAAGTTCGATATACTTGATTCTTAACTTTCAGCCGGTGATTAGAACATCCAACCAGCTAACACTGTTATGAACATGAGTTTTCTAAAGAATTTCATGCAAACCTTAGAACTGCTACAGCCATCAACATTGCAGCTCTGAAGTAGATCTCATTAACACTTTTCTCCGCCCTCTTAATCATTTCCTCTTCCTTCATACTCAACTTGCTAGCGTTCTTGCTGATATGTACTACTGTTTCCCTCAGTCTATTAACTGCCCATGAGAGCCAAACTAGCCCAAAACCAAGGCCAGTGCTAAAGAGTTTCGATGTGCAAAATGGAACTCTCCCACAAGCCACCTTACAAATAACAGAGAAAAGAACAGCAAGACCAGTCCCAGCAATGCCAGCAGAGAAGTGGGTCAAGAGCTCAGGGAGTTCAGGGCCAGATTTCTTCAGGGAAAGAATTGCTGTTTTGCCATGCCGTCTCTTATCAACCATCAAGGAAAGAAGGCTCTCACATGCATGGAAATAATTCCTTTTGTAGAGATCTCTGTCCCTGGCTAACTTCTTAGAGGTCTTCTTCTTTGGTGATGGTTTGAGCTTGATTTTCTCAGGACTGTCAAAAATGAGTTGCATAAAAATAGGAGAAATAAAAACACATTGAACAAAATATTTCAGTCCCATATCCAGTGGACAATAGCCACGTTGGAAGATACCTAATTAAACATGTAGGTCAGACCTGCCATTTTGAGCATATCTGGTAGATCATTTTAGTTTCCATGATCTTTTTTGTTTCTCACTCTATCATAATTTCAGTTTCTGTTGATACATATTTTCGTACGTTCATGCCATTGCTATGGGCTTAAATGCAATTAACATAAATGAAGAGTCACAACTCACAAGTCATTATCCCACTGTCCTAGCAATTCTAGGCCTAGATTTCTAGATCCCAAAACAAGATAAACCCAATCATTTCAAGTTGACAGTTTCCACTACATCATATAGCAAAATTTTGGCAGGGGCAACGGGATTGAAAAATAAGGACACAATGAAACATTCTTGAAACATATGATCAGTCGTATACCTCTTTGAAGGTGCAATACTTGCAACACCAAACTGTGGAGAAGAGAGGTTAGTACTCGCATTTGCTTCGTAGCTCTGAGTCCTGTTTAATCAGAAGACTTTAGGGTCAGATGCCCTCCGAACAACATTGAAATCTACTTTTTATTTTAAATTCCGATAAGATTGAACAATAGCAACAAATTTAGTTAACTGCAATCCAAAAGCACAATTCAAACTAGCCCTATGCACATCCACCACGTGGGTGAAATAAAAAAAAAAAAATGATCATTTAGATGAATATTAAAAGAATAGAAAGAAAAAAAAATTATAATTATCTTTAAATGTATAAGAATGAAAAAAAAAAGAATAACTGTATGTACATGTTAAAATAGAGAAAAAACAGGAAGTAGTGGGTTTTAAAATTTGGATTCTTTCCCTATTATTTTAACTTTATTAATACATATATTTAATTGGTCTTTTATGTCAATTCCTCAACTGAGTTGGTATCACTTGACTAGTGACACCAACTCAGTCAAGGGATTTATAATAGTATAGATGAACTTAACCATTTCAAATCATCAGGTAGTTACACTATAAATACAAATGATGACAACAGTAAATTTTCATTCTAGGTTTACCTTTCAATAATAGTCAAAATACCACAATATGGTGCATTCATAACAAGACTTGCTTGTTTGTACTCATAGTTTTCAATTAACTTAGATCAAACAGGTGTTAGTATCCATACCTGTTGAAGTGTGGAACCAGTGGCAACTGCTTTCTCCACTTAGTTGAGTTACTTGATAAGTAAAATTCAGCAACGATTGAAAGGATGTCTTTCATCTCAGTTCCGCTACTTGTAAGTACAACTCGACCATCTGGATTAACTGTAATTTTTGAATGGCACAACATCTCTCCTAAAAAGTCTGGAAGAGGCTTGGGGGTATCAATTTTGCCACTTGGATAAATTAGAGAAGAAGCATAAGGCTGCTGATGCACACCAAACATCAATGGTTGAATCAAATCAGATAACAAAGATAAATCAAGTTCCCCTTTCTCCACTTTATTTGATCCAGACATAAGAAACTTCAAGATTTTTTCATGTCTCATGCACTTTTCAGCTATCCCAAAGCTAAAGAGTGCTGTATCTTGGTAAGCATCTGTGAATAAAACAGGTTGACCGTAAGCATTCTGCAATGACTACCAGAGAGGTGTTAAGCAGAAATAAAAAAGGAAAGGACATCGCAATAAATGTATCTGACCTAGAGTCACCAACAAAATTGTTTTCTGCTTTCTCATGGGCTACTTAATGTTGCACCTAATAGCTCCTAACGCTTCCTTTCACTTCAAAAATCACCTTTCATAATTATGCTAGAGCTTTTTTCATTCAACTGATGGTGGCGGAGGGGGATGGCAAAAGGGCATCATGCCAAAATTTGAGTTTACATCTCAATTAAAATATAAAAGCTCTCACGAGGAGAAACAAAAATTTTAATTAGCATGTTAATTCAACTTCATACCATAAACACATTTTTTTATGATGTTTTAAGAATTATACAAAATTTTTATAGACTCTAAGAACAAGAATTGGTTTAGATCTCTTTTCCTTAAGAACATAGCAAAACAAATAACTAGTCTATACAACAAAGAAGGCAACAAGTTGCAGACCTGGTTTATCAATAACCATAGGCCTTTGTGGTGTTGGATCGACATCAACAATCAGTTTAGGCTCACACAGCGCATTAACTGGTTTTGGCTGCTCCTGGAATCGGTTGCACTTCAGATCAAAGGAACCTGTTTGTACTTTGTCTTGTTTCACTAGCTGACTTGGCAAGTAGGATTGACAATCCTGCTTTGGTCAAAACAACAGGCATCCATTAATTAAAAAACCAACCCTTCGATTTTTACAAAAACATTTAGAACTAGAGAGAGATAAAGATCCAAAAACAAAACTATAAGTAGCAATATAAGAAAAAAATCGTTGCAAATAACTGATAGAGCAAATCTTAATAATTTCTAACTCATCATATAAACATACATACGCAGGCAAAATTTTTAAATAAAGCTCTATCAGACTTCGGTGAGACACAGAAAAATCCAATAACTCGAAAATGCCAATGTTAAAATGACTGAGAATTACCCAAATAACTAAACAAAAAGAATTAACAAAAAGAAAAGGAGAAGCCCAATGGAAATAACAACATATCTCAAAAACCCAAATCATCAAAACCATGGAAAACAGCCCAAAAACAATTACCTTGATCATCCTGCTAACGCCCTGTTCTTGGTTAAAAACAAGCCCCGGGCCCGGAGGGTACCCATGAGAAGCCATCAAGCAAAGCTTCGTCATTTTTTTTTATGGAGAGAAACCCAGTTCTCAAATTCCCAAAATTCTATCCTCCCTTTATTTGTGACCCTTTTGTCGCAGAACCAAAGACTTGTCCATATCTGGACCTCAAAATCCTGGATTTTCCTCCCAATTTAAGTCCTTTTTTCAGTAGTAATAAGAAGAATAAAAAATTTTAGGATAGGAAATCTAGATTTATGTTATCCAATTGTTAGGATTGAGGGATTTCTCTAGGTTTGGCATCTGTGGCAGTCGCTGCCTTGAGAATCCACTTACAAAAAACACAACAAAAAGTGCCGCTGTTTTTTAATCTTGGATTCTTTCCAGTGTCGGATTCCTTTTGTTTTTATTTATGACCGTCCGATTGAAATGTACGAGTGTAATGACAGACATACTCCAGCAATGAATTTTTTATTGCAAAGGTTAAAAGCGTGTGATGGAATACACTGGAAGCTACCCGTGATAAAAATCCATTGTTTGAAGAAAAGTGAGATCATCTGGCTGACTTGTTGTGATTATATCACATCGACCGTTGATTTCTGACCTTTAAAAAAAGAAAACTTGTTATTGCCAGCTGTGACTTTGTTACTTTGTTTAATTAGGACTTTTGTTATCTTTTTAAAGCCAGACATATGATAGCCCTTTTTTTTTTAAATATAAATTATTAAAATTTTAAATTTTATAAGTGGTGTTTAAATAATAATATATATTTTATATATTTTAAATTAATTTTTTTATGTTTAAAATATACATTAAAAAAATATATGTCATAATTTTAATCTCATTTATAATAAAAAATTTTATTATCAATATATTTAATAATTTCTCAAATTACAAAGTGTTCTCATAATGTTTTAGTTTTGTCAATTGTTTTCATACATAACAATAATAATATTGGTAACTTAAAATAAAAATATTTATATAAATTAATGAGTTACCACGTGTATTTAAAATATATGTATATATAGCACTAATTGAAATTTTATTTGTGAATTATTTATTATTAATTTATTATTTTCATAACTGAATAATAAAATCACAAACGTTTTAGTTGTTTATTGGTTTATGCACTTATTTAAAAATTAAAATTAGTATAAATAATTTAAAGGGTTAAATACTAGTTTGATCTCTGTAATATATCATTTTTTTCAGTTTGATAGTTGAATAATTAAAATTTATAATTAGATATTTAAATTTTTATTTGATCAAATACATTGATATTGTAAATTAACATCATTAATCAATTTGTATTTGAGATATTAATATATAATAAAATTATGATATGTAGTGAAAAAATCATATCATTAGTGGACATATTTCTATATTAATATGAAAGAAAAAGTTTTAAAAAAATATTCGTAAATAAAAATGAAGAGAATTTAAAAGTTTCAAAAATTAAAAAAATATAAAAATCAAATAGAAAGTTAAAATTAAAACATACAATAAATTCAAATAAAAATTTTAAATATGGATTTTTTAAAATTCAAAATTTAATATGAAATATTTATTAAAAGTAAAAAAAAAATTAAAATTTTTTTTTATAAAACAAAATTCAATAATTTTAAAAAAATCTGAAAATATTATAAAATTACAAAAATATTGAAAACATTTTTTTCAAAAATAAAAAAGGTATTTTCTTTTAAATTTATAATAAAAAAAAAGAAAGGGTACAATTAAAAGGGAGAAAGAAAAATCAAACGAAAAGAAAAAGGAAGAAAAAAGAAAAAGAGGTCTCCCATATTAATTAATTGATTTAGTATGAATTAAAATTGATATCAATCTGTCTAATTTGATGCAGATAGATCTAAATTCGTCAAAAACTATCCTTTCCCTTTCTTTCTCCCTCCTCTTCTACGTCCTTCTATTTTTTTTATATGTTTTTTTAAAGAAAAACCCAACGAAATACCAAAAAAAAAAAAGGCTAATGGCCTAATTGAATGATAATGACCAACTTAATTGTATAATACAATTTCAATTAACTTTGAAAATGATAAGCCTATATTACAATATATTTATAGCTATATAATGCTAGATTAAACGGATAAGAGCGTCAAAAGATACACGTAATAATCAAAGGTACTTATCAGTTATCTTTAAAAATAATTTAGGGAGCTAACAATAATCATACGTAATTATCATTAAAAATAACGGGAGTCTTTAACAAAGGGAAGATTCTTCGGTCCTTGTTCAACAAAAAATACGATTATGAAATTACTAAAATGCCCATTAAGGGACAGCTATCTCTTTCTGCTATCATCGTCCAAAAAGCGAGTGGCGTCGGAACCCATAATCCATCATCAGGAAAACGCTTTATCGCTTTACCTCCAATAATTCTCTCACTCATAAAAGAGAAAAAAGTTTGTTTAATTTACTTGATAAAATGAAATTCATTATTATTACGTATATTATGCCAATAAAGTCATCATCTTCGATCATTCTCCCCTTCGCCCTTTCTCGCTCCGAAACCCTAGAAAATTCACCCATCCGAGACGGGGAAAAAAAAAAAGAAGGAAAGAAAGAACCTGTAAGTTTTTTCAAAGAAACCCTCCCTTCTCCCTAGACAATCCTTTTCAATTTAACACGGAAGAAAGTTTTGAAGCCCCAATTTCAGGTTAAGGAAATTACAATAGAGTTTTCTTGTAGGGCACATGGGGAGGGTTCTACGGGAAACATCGAAGCCATCCTCGTCGCCGGCCTCCTCCGTCTGCAGCACCACGTCGTCGACGTCGGTGACGGAGACGGTGAACGGCTCTCACCAGTTCAAGATCACGGGGTATTCGCTGTCGAAAGGTTTGGGGATCGGCAAATACATAGCTTCCGACACGTTCTTGGTGGGAGGATATTTGTGGGCGATCTATTTTTATCCCGATGGGAAGAGCGCAGAAGATAATGCCGCCTACGTTTCGTTGTTCATTGCTTTGGCGAGCGAGGGAACCGACGTTAGGGCGCTTTTTGAGCTTACACTTTTGGATCAGAGCGGGAAAGAAAGGCATAAGGTGCATAGCCATTTTGGGAGGACGCTTGAGAGTGGGCCTTATACGCTTAAGTATCGCGGCAGCATGTGGTAACTTTTTTTTGTTTTTTTATTGGACTGGTCTCTGATTTGGCTATTTTGATTGGAATTACGGGTTTTTTTTTTTTTTTTTGGGTTTTACAATAGCGAATTTTCTTTGATTGAAGTTTTGGTGGGTTTCGGGGTTTGATGCGTTCATCGTGATTTTTATTGGGGTTTTAAGTATCTTGCTAGATAGCAAGAACTAAATAATGGGCTGGTTCTGTTTCTTGTGTTGTAATTTGTAATTTGCAGTTTGACTTTGTTGTTTAAGGGCTGGATCCTGTTTCTTTTTCGGGTTGAATTATTGAGCTTTATGTTGGTTCTTAGGGGGCTGGGATGTTTGCATAACAAGTTTGTTACCTAAATAGTGCATAAAATAGCAATATAATTGGGGAAATTTGGTGGAATAACCTTCTTTCTGGTGACATACATTTTGGCATTAAAAGAATTTGGGGTAGTTGTTAGAACATAATGGCAATAGAATTATGCTAAAATTGGTTATTGCACTAGAAGTTATTAGCCACTGTTCTGTGGTACATAGCTACATTCAAATGCATTATTTTTTCTCAGTACTTGTTTACCAGCTCAGTTATTTTCTAACCTTTATTTCTATTATTAGAATTTTTTATTTCTTTATTAGTATTATTATTTTGTTTTTTCTTTCCTTCTCCTCGTCTCATTAAGATTCTATGACCTGTGAATTTTGAATTATTTTGAAAGAAACGTAATATTTAAAAATTATGTGTATGATTCTGAGGAGAGGTTGTTTGGATTAGTATGAAGAAAGAAAATTTCAATTATTGGATCATATTTATGCTTTTTTTTTTTTTGAGCTTTGCATGTCTATAAAAGTTATTTTTTATTAAAATTTGTTACTAAATGTTGAATTGTTTAAGGTTTTTTTTTTTTTTTATATATATATTTTGCATATTGCCTCTGCTTGATTGTTCATGTAGATGTTTTTTTTGAAGCTATGCTTGTATCCAGTTTCTGTTGTGCTCTATGTCAATCCATACAGTTTCAATTTACTGCATCCTGTTTAATTTTTTTGTGTCATCATAAAGCATTTGGTTACAATTAAGTCAGGCATGATTGACTAAAGACATGTGCAACAACATATTGCTAGCCTAATTGAATAATTCCATGGCATGTAGCTCTTGATTACTTTACTCCTCTGATTGTTCATGATGTCTAACCTTATCTAACTAGACGATAAATGTTATTAAGACATATGTGAGTTGCGATATATCAGAATTTGGGCTTAGCCTTAGCCACTTGGCCTGTAGTTTCTTAGCACCCAATGCTTTTGTTGGGGGATTTGTCAAGTTCCAGGGTTTGACTCCTTCTCTAGTCTTCCTCTGAAAAATGAACAAAAATAAGAAGCTTATTTTATTTGTCTCCCTCATTTCACGTGGTGTATATAAAGTATAAATGATTTGCTGCAGGGGATATAAACGATTTTTCAAAAGAACTCTATTGGAGCAATCAGACTACCTCAAAGACAATTGCCTCTCTGTTCACTGTAGTGTTGGTGTTGTTAAGTCACATACAGAGGGTCCTAAAATCTATTCAATAGCTGTTCCACCTTCAAACATTGGTCTTCATTTTGGACAACTACTAAAAAGTGGAAAGGGAACTGATGTAAGCTTTGAAGTTGATGGGGAAGTCTTTCCCGCCCACAAGTTGGTACTTGCTGCACGTTCACCTGTGTTTAGGGCACAACTTTTTGGTCCAATGAAGGATCAGAATACAAAGCAAATAAAAGTTGAAGATATGGAAGCTCCGGTTTTCAAGGTTCAGTAAAATACCTCCTCTTCTTATGTTGGACAAAAACTCATGCTACTACTTGACCATGATAATGCATCAGTGATGGATGCGTGGAGTCAACTTGCCATGGATAGCTTGCACTTGCCTCGGATGCATGATGTCTTGTCATTGATAGCATGCCTGGTGTCAATAATTAGTTATTGGAAACTTCTCAATACAAACTATATGCTGGGGTGGCTAATGCCATGTTTTTGAAGTCAGAATCGTGGCATGCACTGTCTTAATCTTGTAGTTAATTGCTTCATGTAACACACATGCGGTTGGTCAATGGTTGTACCTGATAATACTTAACTCAGGAATATGCATTTTCTTACATTTCTAAAAATCATGATATTCATGCCTTATTTGAAGTCTTTCATCATTTTCTTGTCAAGCTAAAGCAAATTAATTATTAATAAATATGCTATCTGTAGTACTGATTACTGATACAGTATAGTCTCTATGCCCTCTTTTGCACTTTGCAGGCCCTGCTTCACTTTATATACTGGGATTCTCTACCTGACCTGCAAGAGCTCACTGGTTTCAACTCAAAATGGGCTTCTACATTGATGTTTCAGCATCTGCTTGCAGCTGCAGATAGGTATGGACTGGATAGACTGCGATTACTCTGTGAAGCCAGTCTTTGTGAGGATGTTGCCATTAACACCGTGGCAACTACATTAGCCTTGGCTGAGCAGCACCATTGTTTCCAGCTTAAAGCTGTGTGTCTCAAGTTTGTTGCAATGCCAGAAAATCTAAGAGGTGAGTCTCTTTTTATTTTGATATTTACATCAATGTTGCATCAGGGCTTCCTATGGTATAAATATTATTTTAGTAGGAAAAATGTAATTGATTATGCTAATTATCAGTTGGACCAAGGTTCTCTGTTTCTTAAACTGGAAATCATTGAAAATTGGACTGCTGACTGCAGGCAACCAAGTTGGTGTTAAGAAAAGAATTGCTTTTAGGTAGAAGCATAGCAAGTCATCTTGTAACTCTTTAATTCTGGGCTCTTGTTTTTCAGCCACAGAGGAGTTGGTTGGAAAGTAAATAGGTTTGACATTTATTAAGATATGTCTTATTGTATTATTTTGGGTCATAAATGTCACTGCCAAATGCAGTCACAGCTGGACCTGCATAGAAGTTCCATTTAGTCGATTGTTTCTTAGCCCGCATGATATTATGCAATCACTCTTCTTTCAATCAAACACAACGAAAGCTTTGGGTAAGTTTTAAGCTTTTATTATGGGTTGTCTTGATTTTTCACCCTTCGTACAACTATCCTGAATTTCTCATTTGGGATTTCAGTCGGTGATACGACTGCATATTGCATTCTGGTTTATGCCATTGTGGCTTTTCCAATTTTTAAGTTTTTAAGTTTTACAAGATTTATCCAATTTTCAGCATTCTGGTTTCATTCAAAGTTCCTCTTATGTTAGATAAATGTCAATTGTGTGTGGTTTTTCTTATCAAAGTTTCTTCACTGAACCTTTTTTTTTTTCAGCTGTAATGCAAACTGATGGTTTTGAGTACTTGAAGGAAAGTTGCCCATCTGTCTTGACTGAGCTGTTGGAGTATGTAGCTAGAGTGAACGAGCACTCAGTGATTGTATGCAGACATGGGAATGAAGCCATCATCGATGGAAGTGATGCAAACGGTAGGCGGGTGAAGCAACGGCTATAGTAGCAGCTGGCCACAGTTTCCTTTTTAGTTTAAAAAAAAAAAAAGACGAATGAAAAAAAAGGAAGAAAATATATAGGATTTGGAAAAAAAAATTTTCCAGTGTTATAATCTTTGGTATTTGTAAGAGATGTAAATGTAGTTGTTCATTTGGTGTCCATTTGTTTGCTTTGTGATGAGAAATGTTTCCCTAAATTGTAGTTTTTCATATATTACCTTTTGACGTAGTGGTAGCAGGTATTACTCTGATTACTGATTAGTGTGCGTTGAGGATTGGCGTCCCAGAAACATTTTGAGTCAGCAATTAATGTAACACACATCAAGTATTTACCAAATTCCATTTACTCTTACATGTCCATTTCATTTTCTGCAATTTGCAATTATAAAAGCTTCAAAAATCGCGAGTGAAGTGATTCCGTATTGTATCTTTGATTTGCTGGTGACAGAAGGGAATGGTATTGGCATATCGGATGAGTTATTGAGCTGAGGTTGGAACAGAACGGTTATATTATAAGACCATAGCCCATAGGGAGTGCTGACGGTGCTTCATGGCCCAAATCAAAGTGGGAAGCGGCCTTCACCGTCGCAAGCCAATGAAAAGTTAGTGGTAAGCTCAAACAAGGGACAAACCTAATATTAATTAGTCCTGAAAGAAAGGAGGTCATATCATCATTGGTTTAAGTTTTGCAACTCCGCGCTCAACAACCTCAGATTCAGACAGACTGCGCGACATCAAATTTTGAGTTCCATCGCACCGAAACCCAGAAAATCTCCCTCCTCTCTGGGTAGAGGAATCTAAATCATGGTAATCTTATAATTTTCTGTTCCACCTTTTCTTATAAATAAGTTTTCTTTTGTTTTCCGGCCGCCAAAATCCTTTTTTTCTTTTTAGTTCGATTGAGTTCGTCACTATTTTCCCCTATGCATTCTCCAATGGGGTTTCCTTTGATTTTTTTTTAAATTATTTTTTTTCGATGGGGATTGCAGTTGTTCTTTTCGTATTTCAAGGACTTGGTGGGAAGGGAGGTGACGGTGGAGCTGAAGAATGACTTGGCAATCAGAGGAACCCTTCACTCCGTTGATCAATACCTCAATATCAAGCTCGAGAATACTAGGGTTGTCGATCAAGACAAGTATCCTCACATGGTATCCCCCCCCCCCTTTTTTCTGTTTGTTTCTTTTTCCTTCCCTCTGCAAATTGATCTCCCCCTTCATTTTCTTATTACCATAGGGGTTTGTCAAGGAATTACTTTAAAGTTAGAGGTTTTTTTTTTTTTAAGTTTAAGAAGAAATGAATTGGGTCTTCTGAGCCCCTTCTTTTTCTTTCACTCCAATAGGCCCTTTTTCTTTTTCTGGGTAAACATGAGATGAAGGAAGCTGAATTTAGGGCTTATAATTTTTTTTTTTTAAATACGCGCTGACTTCCCTTGCAGATTGTTTATTTAGATTTTCTCTTTTCTAACCGATTTTATACTGAATATCTACCACTGTATGTTTTTCCAATGTAGCTACTCCGTAAAATATCTGTTAACTAGTATTCCCCATGGTTTTACTTCTCCAATAGAAGTGATGGGTTCAATAAAGTTTTCTTTTTTCCGCAGCCCAAAGTCCAAAAAACTTCTCATCTTAGTTTAGTAATCGTTCTTCTTCATTTCTTCTTTGCATCTTAAATGTGCACTCTCCTTTACCTTTGATTAAATTTACTTCTGTTATAGTCTACCTTTCTTTACTATTTTACTTTGCACGAGTGACAATTTCTCTGCCTTGTGCTATGTGAATGACAAATTTATCCTCTTGGTTTTATCTGTAGATGAAAATTTTGAAGTTTAGTTTAATGGGAGTATGGTTTTCCTATTTTATACCCAGGGTTATAGAGTAACAGTCAGAAAAGTGGATTCAGGAACATTGTGTTTTGTACTAAAGAATATTCCTTATCAATGTTAGCATGATGTTACATGGTCTTGCATTTGGCACATAGGATTATTGAAACAGGATGTACATTCCCAGTATTATGCATTACCTGAAAGAATTTCATCCTAATCATTGGCATTGGATTCAGCTCAACTTTAAAAGCTGTATAGTAAGTTATGTTTCTAAGAAGAGGCAGGCAGGAACACCTATTCAAGCAAAGGCGATTTACTTTTAAACCTGTTACCATTTACCTCATTAAGAGTATGCCATTGGTGCAGTGATCTTGGAGTGTCTCAAACATCATGCGAATCTGCTGGTCATTTGTGATTTGGGTTTTGCTAGTTTTTTGCCTGCCCCTTTTTCTTTATAAATTTGTTTTGAAATTTTGTTTTCTTTTGGCTTACATCTGCGAGAATTCATTTCATGTTGACTGTTAATGATTGCTTGCTTTTAATTGAGTTTGGCTGCTGGACATATGAATGAACTGTTTGAGTGATACTCATATATGCAAATTCGTTGTGGAAGTCCTAGTTTTAGTTTGTAATTTATATTTGGTCATCTTTTATGAGCTTTGGGAAGTCAAAATGTTTTTATGCTTGAATGATAAGTAATTTTTCAGTCAAAAACTGGTAGGTCATTGAAACACTTGATTACTGCTGACTGGGATTTCTTAACTTTGCATAAAGTTGGTCCCTTCATCCGCTCCTAATATGCTGTCAGTTTTTCTGTTCTTGTTTTTCTTTTATTTAAATTCATCTTAAGTACCATGACATGCTTTTCCCTGCTGGTTATTGAAGTTATCCTGAAAGTATCATAAAGGTTGTAATGTCCTGTTATCCCATGCCTATAGCATGTTTCTTGGTTTGGCTTTGTTGAACATTGACCATCTCAATCTGAACTACTTTTCAATCTCTTCACAACCTTTGGCTTGATATGGCTGCTTGTGTTATGTCTGTATTTTTGTTTTTCTCTTTTCAAAATTGACTGGCTATATTGACGAGTTTCTGTTTGTTTACAGCTTTCAGTGAGGAACTGTTTTATTAGAGGCTCGGTTGTGAGATACGTCCAGCTACCTCCTGATGGAGTTGACATTGAACTGCTTCATGATGCCACAAGAAGAGAAGCTCGGGGAGGCTGAAAAGCATTTATTGACAAATTCAATGTACTTTTATGAACATCTGATTTAGATACTTTTGCTTCAAATAGTTTCTGAATTCAGTAAAGATAGTGACAAGTTAATGAAGACCGACCCCTCTTTGCATTAATGTAAGACAAATTGATGTTGGTTTGTGTATCAACAAATTTTATTTTCTAAAGGCAAATTTCCTTGTCAAATACTTGTGTATAATTCTGGTAGCCAGTTATGATGCTGTGAAATGTGGATTGTTGAGTACGAATCCTGAGGATGAAATATGAAATATAGGCTGTGCAATGTTTGTACAGCAAGGATGTTGGTGACCTACAATGATATGAAGTTCTTAAAAGTTATTTTGTGCTGTTTTAACCAAAAAATAAATAAATAAAGGTACAGCAAGTTTTATGTGGAATATGTAAATGTTGCAGAGTGAGAAAGGTCCTACAATTTTTTTTTCAGAAGATATACTTGTTTATTACTAGTAGTTATTACCATTCTTAATTTTCTATGATCACCAATTTCGATTTGGAAACTCTTTTGCATTTGTACACTAGAAATGATCATATTCAAAGGCAATCAAACCTGATTTAAATGTTCATTTTTTGTTTCTCGAAATGGGATGTTAGTTGCCTTATTTTCTAAAACAGTTCCTCCATTGTTTTGAAAACGTAAAATCTCTTAATCTCTTTCATTATTTACGGAAATCAAAATCTTTTGTATTGTAAAATAACGTTTAGGCTTAATTATTTCCACTTCAAGCAGAGTGAATCATCAAGATTTTCTTGCCAAAAAGAAAGAAAAAAATTGAAAATTTCTTTTAAATAGCCAGTAACACACTTCAAAGGCACACATAACTACATTACTCCTCTTGTAACTCCCTTCTTAGAACGTTCATTTCCTCTAATCCCATCAGTCATTTTTCTACCGTTTTGCCAAGGTTCTCTGCGTTCCAATGGGAGATGGTTTGAATGTCCCAGTATGCATTTGCCTTCTTTTTTACATGTTTAATACCTACAATTTCCTTTTCATGACCTATTTTTAATTTCTTTGCAGACTTGTATTCTGAAAGTGAATTTCCATTGTTGTACAGCATGTCCCATGACAGTGAAGAAAAAGTTGCAGAAAATCAATGGTATGTTCCCTCCATGAAAGAATGTTAATAGTATATTTTGAGTCCTAAAAATACCACTACTTTTTAAAATACTTTCTGATTTTTTTTTTCTCGTTTGATTTTGTCACCTAGGCGTGTATGCTATCGACATAGTTACCAAAAATGGGCTGGTGAGCGTTCGGGGCATTGTCCAAACCTCTATATTCATCCAGACGATATCAGAAAAAAGTTGGCAAAAAAGCAGAGCTTTACGCCTATGAGAAGAACCCCGAGATTCAAAACGAAATGCTAGATCAAGGCAATAGTTGTTCTTTTACTGATGAATCTAATGATCATGACAAGGGTAAGGACAATCATGACCAAGCTGTCCATAATGAAGTTAAGGGTCCTATACCAGACGGGGCCTAAGGCAAACTTTCTTGGCACCACCCACAATCTGGCATGAAAAAGAAGAAACACGGCTTTGCTGGGTGGTTTGGCAATAAGAGTACTGTTGAACCAAGAATTTTTTGGCAATTTTGGAGGACCACGGCCAGGATGTGCAAGGCTGCCACCTCCACCACCACCTTTTCCACCGCCATCATATAGGTATGGACAGTATCCACTAGTTTATCCCTACTCACCAGCTTACCGGATAACAAAGCCGCCGTGGCCATATCCATATAACTTCTATGAGAAGAAGGAACCTCCGATAGGCAACTCTGTTTTTCACTCATTTCGTAATGATAACGTTAATGCTTGCAGCATAATGTAAGATGCTGTAAACTTGAATTACTTCATTGATAATTATGGGAATGTTTTTCTACCAAGGTTATCCTCCAGAAAGAACATTTCATGTATAAAGTAGTTTTTTTTCTTTTTTTTTTTCAGGCATTTAGGTGAAACTGTCAACATTCAACTAAATTTGAACAATTGAATATTAAATATTTTAAAGATGATTTCTATACCTCCAATTTTTTTAAGGTTTCACCTTTTCTTCATACCTATAGTTAACATATATATATATATGTATGTGTGTGTGCATGTGTATGAAGGTACATATTCATCTGAGTATACATAATTATTAATTACATAAATGTCAATGCATTTGATAATATAAAGAGACGAAGCTAGAGCGGGCTATGGCCTTTTAAAATTTGTTACCTTTCTTATTATACAATGATCGGTCCCATCCAATTATTACTTTTGTTCTCTCTTCTCTTTTGAAATTATTATTTAACTCTTTTTTTATTACTTTTTTGCCTTCATCTCCGATGATATGCATTTGATTTTAGAATATGATTAAAAATGTAAATCAGCAGCCAATATATATATATATAGAGAGAGAGAGAGATGCTATTGGAGGCATTTGACTTTTACCAATGGAAAACCAGTAATAAATTTTGAATTCATAATGTAAATGGCTGCAATTACAAGAGACATGTCCTTGAACAACAGGATCAAACAGAGCCTCTACAATGTTTGAGATGCATTATGAACAATATATGACGAGATCCCCAATCATGTCTACTGCATTGATCAGTTTTTGTTTTGTCATTAGCGCAAGTCCAATGGATAGTTTACAGGGTCAAATGATGATTTCCCAGTACATTTTTTTTTTTAAGTCTTTTGCCCACCTTTTGTCACTTATTTTTGCGTTGAATCTTTGCTTCAATTTTCGTGCTCGGTGAAGCCAGTCCAACATGTTACGATGGGTTTCTTCAACTGTTTTATAGGTAAATGAAACGGCGCCGTTTTATAATTAAAAAAAGGTCCAAAGGAAAGTAGGCCCCTTCCAGCTTGGCCAATTTTGAAACCTTGGGCCCGCCTAATGTGCTCCGAATTGAATAAAATCTTTTAAATATATATTGACACCTTGGCCCATTTTTTTGTTTATTTAATTTTTATTTTATGCATTAAATTTATCAAATTATTTTAAAAAATAAGAATAACAAGTAAATAAATTGATAAATTGAATAATAAATTTTTTTTAAAAATTCCACAATTTTAAAAACTTTCTAATTTACATTTTTTTAATTTTACTAAATTGAAAAATAAATAATCTACGACTTTACTCCGAGATCCAATATTTTTCTCGTAAAATGAAATTATTTTAAATAATTATAAAGATATAGAATAATTTTTTTTTTACAAAATTACATCATCAAAATTAAAAAATCTTTTAGTTTTTAGATAAATGAAATATTAATATGAAATAATAATAAAAAGCATAACATAATAGTTTTTTTAGTAATAAGAAAATATAGTTAGAATTTTATTAAATAAATTTTGATTTCAAATAATTAAAAAATACAAAAATATTATCAATTAGTTATTATATTATATTGCGTTTTGTATCTCGTTTAATCTTGTGGTTAGGATAATTTTTTATTCATTATTCCCATTTAACTTACGTTAATTTTTTTTTTGTAAAATTCATTCTCCTTAATTTTCACCCATTTGTATTTTCTTTCTCTACAGGGTGTCCACATAATCTTGGTCCCAACCCGAGGGTAGAGAAAACAATGACAAAGGGTCCTCAACTCAACTCTCTACTCGACTGAGTCCACTGTAAATACTAGCATAACTGCATAATCAAGCTCCATTGGAGCACCACCTTGCGTTGGCAGTTACAGGGACAGCTGGCATGGCGGTTCCCGTACAGGCAGCGAGTCCGGTATGGGAGACGGTGCTGGAGCAGACTAAGTCTGCTCAGGACAAGAACAGTGACCCACTTCTCTGGGCGGTTCAGCTCAGTTCTAGCCTTAACTCGGCTGGGGTTTCTTTGCCTTCAATCGACCTGGCTCACCTCCTTGTCTCCCACATCTGCTGGGATAATCACGTGCCCATCGCGTGGAAGTTTCTAGAGAAGGCCCTGACTGTCAAGTTCGTCCCTGCTATGCTCGTTCTCGCCCTTCTCTCAACCAGGTTCATTTCCCCTTTTTTTTATTTTTTATATTTTTACATAATAGAATTGATGATATTTGTGACTATATTGTTTGAATTTTTTATGTGTATTTTTGTTATTTGATGTTTATTTTTGGTAACTGTATTGCATGGTTTTGGGTTTTTGAGCTGATTGGGGTTTGAAGTTGATAGTATAACCCATTTGATAGGCCTTAGTTTAAGTTTTTTAAACTCAATAATATTCTGCAGTTCGTGCGAATACAGGATGTGTAGATTTTGTTGACCTTTTATGGTGTAAGAAACTAAGAATTAGCCATACATTTGGGTTCTCACACCCACCCCTGGTTGCCTATTATCATTTTGTTTTAAACTTCACTGCAAGTGTACAGGATAATTAACGCGATATATATACACAAACTCACATTTGTATCTACGTTTGTATGTACATACGCACTTGTTTATGTATCATGTATGCATATTAGGTGTTCCTGCGTCGGGGGAAGTGAGGGGGTTGCTGAGGTGTGGCCAAGTTCAGTTCTTATGATGGATATGTGTCATCATTTAAAGGACCTATTTGTAAAAACTGTTTTTAATTCGTATTCATACTGTCTTTCTTTGTTACATGGCCTTATTTAATCAATGAATAAAATATGATAAAGACCAATATTCTTAAGAAAATAAACTCATTATCGTGCTTCATCATCAAAGGTTTAATCCTGGAATATAGTATTTGTTTCTGTTTTTCTTTCTTTTAATACCTATTAGTTTTCCAACAATTTTTTTTTTAATGCCCATTTGCTGGTGACCAAAAATTTGAGGATGTCTGACAATCTTTTTTTTTTTTTTTGGTGGTTTATTTCTGTGGCTTCTTGTTGTTTTTTATGTCACTGCTGGTTTGGAAAGAAATTTCTGCTTGATTGGCAATTTTATGTTAGATTGCAATCATTAAATAGCTATATTTTGGGGGGTTTTTGGGCAAACGTTTATCTTTACGCCCTCCACCAGCACATGTTGTCAAACAATGGGTGGCCTGTGAAGTCATGATTTTTTGGAAGGTGCCTACTTGCATGATATTTCTTTTAGGTGAAACTGACTACATTTGGTGTCTATGACAGGGTCATTCCAAGTCGTAAGTTTCATCCCGCAGCATATCGGCTTTACATGGAACTCCTTAGGAGACATGCCTTCTCACTTGAATGTCAAATCAATGGACCAAATTATCGAAAGTAAACTTCAATTGCTCTCCCTCTATTTTTTTTTTCCTCGTGGTAGAATGGTTTGTTTATGGATTGCCATTCAAGTTGACCTCTTGTATCGGTATTAATAGAATCCAAGATTCATTACATCTATTTTATGTTTTATTTTCTCTTTGAAGACATATTATTAGTTAAATTATATTAAGGAAAACTATATAGCATGTAACAAAATAATGAAACCTACATTTATGTCAGCTGCTGTTTTATGAAAATGGTTTGATCTGATTCTGTAAACTTCTCTACCTTTGCCAAAGTATTGCTTCATATCATTTTAGGGACACTTGGCTAAGCTACTGCAATAAGTATTAATGCTAGTTTTCTGGTTAAATTACAGGATTATGAAATCAATAGATGATGTTCTTCATCTTTCCCAGATATTTGGCATTCAAGTGTCTGAACCTGGTCTGCTTCTAGTTGAATTTGTTTTTTCTATTGTATGGCAACTGCTTGATGCATCATTAGATGATGAAGGGTTACTGGAACTTACACCAGAAAAGAGATCAATATGGTCTACTGTAACTCAAGACATGGAAATAGATAATGCTGAGAACTTTAATGAGAAGAGGAATGAGCACCATGATGTGCTGTATAAAGGTAATACTACAATGGCTATTGAGATTATTGGGGAGTTTCTGCAAAATAAAGTAACTTCAAGGATTCTTTTCTTGGCACGGAGAAACATGTAAGGACTTATACCTGTTATTAATTTTTCTTTCTGTTGAGGCATTATGATGCTAGCTTATTCTATGAATAAGAGAGAAATGACAGAAAAGAAGTAGTTCATGTGGTGGCTTTTCACTTTATGTAATGCCATCATTTGGTGCAAGAATTTTATTTATTGAACTTTGGGTGGGATCCTTGTAATACTTTGAGTTAATTGAGTAAGATGTGACTAACACTCATATTCTGTTACTCTTCTTAGGCCGTCACATTGGGGAGCTTTTGTTCAGCAATTAAGAGTTATTGCAGCAAATTCAGTAGCCTTGAGGAATTCAAAACATGTAACTCCAGAGGCCCTTCTGCAGCTGACATCTGATACACGTAAAGTTCTGTCTAGGGAATGTAAAACAATATCACAACAAGAGTTTCTTGCTGTCATAGGCTCTGGGTCTCTAACATCTTCATCTGGTCATTGTCACGGGACTAATCCTTCTGCAAATTGGCTTCCTATTGATCTGTTTCTAGAGAATGCTATGGATGGATCACAAGTGGCTGCAACTGGTGCTGTTGAAAGGCTTACTGGTACTTTTAATATTTGTCTTCAGATGCTCAATTCATTGCTTTATTTGAAGCAGAAAAGACTCTAGTTCTTTGATCATGTTACTTAGACGGAGTCAATCTTGCAGGTTTAGTTAAGGCTTTACAGGCAGTCAATGGGACAACATGGCATGATACATTTCTAGGTCTATGGATTGCAGCTTTGAGGCTTGTTCAAAGGGTAAGAATTTGTGCAAACTTGATGGAGCTCTTGTTTACCTACAACCATTTTTCTTCTCTTTTTCTTCTCTTTTTCACTGAGAAGAAATTTGTTGAATATACATACATAAGCACATACTTATATGTATGTGTGCATGTATATGTATGATATAGCATTTATGTATTCATGTATCTAGGTGGATGGTTGTGTGTGTATTCTGCGGGCAGACAAGCTTCTGTGTTTGTTGCTTCCGATTTTTCTGCTTTTAAAGCCACTTTAAATTTGATTCTATGTTTTGTTCTTGTGTCAATTTGTGAGGGAATATAACGTGATTGCTTGTGACTGCCAAGTAGGCAA